AATCCAGCTGTGTTGTCTCATCTTAACTCAGAAAACTGCTAAGAGTAGTGTTCATACATGGCGCTCTTTCTCCAACCTATTCAGGTTCCATCCATCATTAGAGTTAATTTGTCAGGAGATGGACCTGAATTTCAGGAAGAAAATGCCTATGGATCCACCGTCCAGCCTTCTTGTGGGAGAAACACATTTCGTCGTGTTTGTGATCTGGTTCCAGGTTTTCTCTCAGGATTGACCAGTGTACCCTTGCCTACCAGGTAAAACGTAGCGGCAGTTCACCTGACCTCACTGTGAACCCACAGAACAAACGTTTGTTTTCTAAAATCTCTCCTTAATTATTAATATTGTGGGCATCCTTTCACCTGTGGGACAGGAGAAACACTCCATTTTGTAATGTACTGTGTAAACTAGCTACCTTGTTGTTGGGGACCCTGGACCACCATCCCAGCTAACAAAGTTGCTTAATGACTTGCCTTTATGAGAAACTGTCTCTTTTGGGAGAATCTGACCTTCAGCTAAGAAAGAATTTCCTGTTCTTAGAGAACTGTTGGCCCAGGACATTCCAGGAAAAACTGCAGAATGCTCCGCTGGATGACTGACCTTATCTATCTATACTTGATAGAGTCCCCATCCTGTTCTTTGTTTCCCTTCTTCCCTTGCCAAGAGTTTTTCTTGTAAGCTGTTTCCGCATTAAAGCAGACCTTGACAAGGTGACATTTGCTTGGTCTCGTTCTCTCTCTCTCTCTCGCCCCTGTTCCTTTTCAGGTGAGGTCCCTCTCGACCCCCACGAATAACTGGACCCGCGGGTCGGGTCACCTTGTGTCCAGGAGGAAAAAGGGAAAGTGCTGGAAGTAAGGTAAGACAGAAGTGAAGCTCTTCACTCCAAGGGCAAGGTCTACTGAAGTGGAAACACTTGCAGAGCTGGGGTGGAACCCAGCGCCAGGAAATACTTTCCTGTGCGAAGAGCTACAAAGTTCTACAACTCTAACTACAAAGGAGGGACTCTTGTCACTCAGGCCTCATTAACCAATCAGAACCTGCAGTCGGAGCGTCAGTCATATTGAAGGCGGGCTTTTCCCGTTGCCTGGCTCCAGACTCCGGGCTGAAGCTGGTAAAATGCAAGTGGTTCTTTGCGCGTGCCAGGAGCTGTGAGGGGTGCGCGCAAGCTTGGAAGCCACCGTATGGTGAGCTGAGCGAGGGGCGACGGTCTGGGGAGGAGTGAGCTGCTGAGCCTCGGGATCGCTTTTGGTAGGCGATCCTTGGGACTGGATGGGCACTAGTGGCCAGATGTGGATTTGTATGAAGTCCTTTGCGGTCCCTGTAATTCCCTGTGCCCCAGTGGAGGACTCTGAAGAACTTTGCTCTGTGGGTTGAATCTGTGCAGAGCTTTGGGAACATGAGCTGTGTGTAGAAACATCTTTGTAGTCAATGTCACCAGGCTTTTTGTGCACCAGAGGACGGCAGAGTGCCGTTTTAGTTTATCTCGCATCTCTAGAATTTCTCGTCATCGGGTTTAACATTTAGGAGTAAGATCTATTTAGAGTTAATTTTGTAGATGTTGTAAATGGAATCTTATGTGTTAGGAAGCACTCCGCTGTGCTGAGATGCAGAAGGGTATAACTGACAATGGAAAGGATTTACCAATGCTTAGGAGATAAGACGTCACATAAAGTAGAGTTTAGCTAAGGGTGGTCTGCCTCTGAAACACCCCAAAGATGTGTATGCTAATGAGGCCTGTAAGAGATTAGTGTTATATATACATGTTTGTTCACCAGCGTTGTGTAGACATTTTGGCTCCAACCATAAGGAAGGAGACAACCCTGATTTGAAACAGCCACTAGTCCAATGCCCATATTAAATAACAGGAGTGTAGGAAGCTGCCTAAAGGAGCAGGTAGCGTCATAACCAACATTAAGACCTGGTGTGCCATCAAGGTCCCATTTTCTTCTTAGATGGTGGCTCCTTCCTCTGGACCCTCTTATATAGATACAACCAGTTGTTGTTTTGTCAGAGAGCCAGACAGCAGGGCAGTCCTCACTGTAGCAGCATCAGGATCTCGGCCTGCCTGCTTTTATTAGTTATAAGGGGCAGTGACATCATTACTTCCTTCTTATCTGCTACACACAGCACTGACCTGAGCTGGAGAGCTGGCGTGAGCTAGCTGCTCCTCAGTTTAACGTCCAACTCAGGCCTCTTCTAATTTCTCACTAACATGCTCTCTAAAAACCCCCACCCCACCCCAGCTTTTATCTTTACTCCCTTACACTTTTACAGTCTTTCTCATAGTCTGGCACATTCACCTCTGGATCCTGTCACTGAAGAATGACCTGCTGTTCCAGGACACTGGTGTATTTAAGAATTAGTCTTAGGAGTACTTTGTTGTGTAAATCTCTCTTCTACCTAAGTGGTTAGACTTGCGGTCTCCTGTCCCTATTTGAATTGTTCAAAGTATAGCCTGGGGTCTGAACCAGCGTATATAGGATGGAAAATCTGTTCTGGGCTGGCACGTCTTTGAGCACCAGGCAGTGCTGGATTCATGCTATTCTTCAACAAGTTTTCTTCATTAATATCTTAGGTTCATCAAGTTATTTCTCTCTGGGCAGACATATTAATTCTAGAACAACTGTAACTCCTGCAGAAAAATGTTTCTGAGGGTCTGTCTGTTACATTGTTTCAGGTAGCCTTGACCCTAGATACAGACTAGTCTACATGTCCACAGGGTATATATCTTGCTGTCCACTTGATTAAAATTAAAATTCTTAAATTAAGGGATTGTACCATCCTAGAGTTTTAAAATTCCCAATTTGAGTCACTTAGACCACAAGAAACATTTATGCAACAGGAAAAGGACTATGTCTGTTCCAAGGGCCGGAAGTTCGAGCGTGCCAGGGGCCGAAGGGCCAGCCGAGGGTACAAAAACGAACCTTGGATCTTACTGTTAATAAAAAAGTTTTGGATGTTAAAAAACAAACAAACAAACAAACAAACAAAAAACCCCCAAAATAAAAACCTTTTAAAAAAAAGAACCAATTGGGGAACAGGACCTTAGCATCAGAACCATCCCTATAGCTTAGTGTTTTTTAATTTCTCTAATTAAACAAGCAATTATCCATTGAAACAATGAAATCTACAGAGAGAAATGCTTCAGACATTCTAGGTTCTTTGAAAAAAATCAACAAGGTAGACAAACCTTTAGCCAAACTAATTAAAAGTCAGAGAGACACTATCCAAGCTACAAAAATCAGAATGAAAAGGGGGACGCAACAACAGACACTGAGGGAATACAAAGACCTATTAGCTCTTACTTCAAAAACCTATACTGTACAAAATTGGAAAATCTAAATGGAATGATACCACTTACCAAAGCTAAGTCATGATGAGGTAAACAATTTAAGTAGATCCATAAACCTAAAATAATCAAAGCAGTCATTAAAAATCTTCCACCAAAAACAAAAAGCCCAGGACCAAATGGTTTTAGTACAGAATTCTACCACACCTTTAAAGAAGAATGAGTACCAATACTTTTCAAACCATTCCACAAGATAGAAACAGAAGGATCATTGCCAAACATATCCTATGAGGCCATGGTCAATCAGTGTTGTATTAATGGCATTCTCTGTACAAAAGAAGGGCTTACTCTTTTTTGAAGTCCTTTTCAGTTACTTTTACTTAAAAAAAATCAATTATGTGTATCATCTTTTAAATTTCATTTTCTTTAAATATATCACTTTTGTAATCTTTGTCTGTTTCTACTCTCCAGTGTTTCCTGGTCATTAAGAATTTCATACTGGGCTGTAGCTGAGGCATCTTGAGTGACTGATGTGTCCTGCTCTGTGTGCTGCTGCTGCGTGCTCTGACCCCGTGATATGGATGCATTGACCTATGATGTTGTGCATTTATACTTCCCTCAGGAGGAGTGGTCCTTGCTGAATCAATCTCAGAAGAGACTTTACAAAAATGTGATGCTGGAGACATACAGGAACCTCAATGCTATAGGCTACAATTGGGAAGAACATTGTCAAAGTGATAGAAGACATGGAAGGCATGAAAGAAGTCCTGCTGGAGAGAAACCCTATGAATATACACAATGGGATAAAGCCTTCACATATCACAGTCATTTTCAAAAGCATGAAAGAATTCAAACTCGAGAGAAACCCTCTGAAGGTTTTCAACAGAGTGAAGCCCTTGCATGTCATAGTAGTCTCCAAATACATAAAAGAACAGATACTGGAAAGAAACCCTACAAATGTAATCAGTGTGATAAAGCCTTTTTACAACCCAAGTATCTTCGAATACATGAAAGAACACATACTGGAGAGAAACCCTACAAATGTAATCAGTGTGATAAAGCCTATACACAAAAGAGTCATCTCCAAATACATAAAGTAATACATACTGGAGAGAAACCCTACAAATGTAATCAATGTGATAAAGCCTGTTCACAGCACTGGACTCTTCAAATACATGAAAGCACACATACTGGAGAGAATCTCTATGAATGTAATCAATGTGGTAAAGCCTTTGCACTTCGGTCTACTTTGACCATACATAAAAGAACACATACTCAAGAGAAACCCTATGAATGTAATCAATGTGGAAAAGCCTTTGCACAAAGCAGTCATCTCCGAACACATAAAGTAATACATACTGGAGAAAAACCCTACAAATGTGATCAATGTGATAAAACCTATTCACAACAGAGTCACCTACGAATACATAAAAGAACACATACTGGAGAAAAGCCCTACAAATGTAATCAATGTGATAAAGCATTTGTATCTCACACTCATCTTCTAATTCATGAAAGAATTCATACT